AGTCTTGAGAGCTCAGTGAGCTGTTCTGTAGGAGCTTGGAAGATAAGAACGTTAGAGCAGTGCAGACACTGGAGGCCTGGCTTGTGAAGTTCCAGAGGGAAGCAAAGACTCTACCGGGCCTGTTGTGTGAAGAATCTGTGGTGTCTGGCCAGCTGGAGCCGAAGAATCAGCTATGATTGACAAGAGACCAGAACCACTGAAGGAAAACCTTTGTTTTGCTGGGACAACGGATGCCGGTCAGCTGGGGCTGAAGAATCCGCCATGATTGAGAAGAGGCCAGCAACACTGAGGTGAAACCTTCTGAGAAGTGTTCCCTGAGTCAGCACGTGCAAGCTGTGTGTTCCAAGGATGGCCATGGTTGTCCCCTGTGCTGGCAGCCAAACTTGGTCATGTGTAAGAGTCACCCAGGAAGGCGTGACAGGGTCAGGAAAAGCCACCGAGGCTCGGCACTGTGAGAGGCCAGGATAGGCCATTGGTGAAGATGCATCCTCAGTAGCAACTGAAGCCCCAGGATTGATGGGGTCATGGGAAGAAGTTGAGGTTTGGCACTGTGAAGACAGCCCAGGAGAGGCTGTTGGTGAAAGCGCGGTCTACTTGCATCAGAGATCCCAGTATTTTGGAGATGCCAGTGCCATGCCATGACCACCAAGAACAGAGCAGTGCTGAGGTGGACCCTGCCAAGCCTGGAAGACAACTGTGTGTGCCGCAGTGAGCGGAGCCAGAGAAGTGACCCACGCCCTTTGCAGGAGCTCAGAAGATCAGAGATGGTGAGTGAATCCCGGACTTTGGACATTGACTTATTTACACCATTGGAGTTTGGTTTTGCTCCTCAGATTGTGACTGTGCCCTGGTTCTTGCCTCTTTGAAGTAAGGAAGTATTTAACTTAATTCTGATTTTTATAGGAGCCCACAGTTGAGAGATTTTGAACTTTTAGAAGGAATTTTAGATTTTTTTTTTCAAGAGACTGAACTTTTGATTTGTTTCAATTTGTAAAGACTGTGGGACTTTCGAAGTTATTTTTGTTTTATGGTGTGATATTAATATTAAGGTGCCATCTTGGGGATAAATGAGAAAGAAACAGTTCTAATTGAAAAGTGGAATGTTTGTGTGTCGAGCTGACGAGGGGCCACTTGTGCTGGCTAATTTTATGTCAACTTGATACAAGCTACGGTCATCAGTGAAGAGGGAGCCTCAGTTGAGAAAATGCCTCCATCTGGGAGATCAGGCTATAGGCAAGACTGTAGGGCATTTTCTTAATTAGTGATTGATGGGGGAGGGCCCACCATGATGGGCGGTGCCATCCCTGGGCTGGTGGTCCTGGGTTCTATAAGAAAACAGCCTGAGCAAGCCATGGGAAGCAAGACAGTAAGCAGCATCCCTCCATGGCCTCTGCATCAGCTCCTGCCTCCAGGATCCTGCCCGGCTTGAGTTCCTGCCCTTGCAGCATTTGATGTTGACCAGTCATATGGAACTGTGAGTGAAATAAACCCTTTCCTCCCCAAGTTGCTTTTGGTCATGGTGATTCATCCCAGCAATAGTAACTCTAAGACAGATGGAAAGCATGGTTCGGGGCTGGAGGGATGGCTTGGTGGCTGAGTGCTTGCTGCTTTTGCAGAGGACCCAAGATTGGGTTTCAGCACCCGCATGGTTGCTCACAACCACCTGCAGCTGCAGCCCTAGAGGACCTGACATCCTCTTCTGTCCTCTTATGTACCCACATGTGCATGTGTACTGACACATAGACACATACATCCACCATAGCTTCCCACATGCTCATGTGTGTACCGACACATAGACACACACATCCACCATAGCTTCCCACATGCTCATGTGTGTACAGACACATAGACACATTCATACAACTAAAACAAAAATAAAAGCTTCAAAATAGGAATTTGAGGTGGCTTCCTGGTTTCCTTTATTTGTTTCATTGATTGAGTTTCATCTTCCTGCTGTTATTTTGCTGCGGAGGTATGGTTGGATGTAATCAGAATTTCCCTACGTGTTTTGTTTTCAGCTGATTGATTACAGTGTGTTTTTTGGTTGGTTTTGTCAGTCTGACAAAAACCTAGATGTATCTGGGAAGAGAGAATCTCAGTGTGGGGATTGCCTCCATCACACTGGCCTGTGGGCAAGTCTATGGGACCATTCCCTTGAATAATGATTGACATTCCTTAGTTCCTACCCTGACTTTCTTCAGTGATGGACTGTTACCTGGAAGTGAAGAATGAAGCCAGCCCTCTCCTCCCAAGTTGCTTTTGGTCATGATGTTTATCACAGCAATAGAGGCCTACATAAGACAGTGCCAGGTGTGTGCTGTTGCTAGGACAATGCCAGGTGTGTGCTCTTCTGTGAACTTTTATGAACTACTTGGCATCCTCTGAGCTTTTGTCTTTGATAATATTGGGAAAAAGCTGCTACTTCTGGAAGCATCTTTTCCCTTTCTTCTTTCTAAGGACCACTATTATCCCCTAGTTCTCGGAAGCCCTGGAGGGCGTGGACCTGTGTAGACTACTCTCATTCCTGTTATTTCCATGATGGGTCCTCTTATCCTCATTGATTGCTTAGACTCATCTTGTGGTTTTACAATTTGCCGGCCGGCTTTCCTGTTGAGTCTTTACCGTAGTGATCACAGTTGTTTATAATTGTCTGTGAGGTGGTTCCAGCACATGTTGCCATGGTGACACCTGGTTCTATTGGTTGTTTTGCTTCTGCAAATGTGTGTACGTGTACATGTGTATTTTAAGATAATCGAGTTTTGTTTGTTTGTTTTTAAGCTGGATGCCTTGTGTAAGAAATAGCTAAGTTGGTCCTAAGCTTGGGAGTAGGCACATCTTTCTCTCTATTGAACCTGTAAAGGGGTGTTCAATGTTAATCAAGGAATTGGCCTTACTGGTAATTTGCTGACATCCAGTGTGACACTTGGCTTACACCCAGTGTGGCCCAGGCTTTATTTTCCCTGGTGATGACTTGTGTTGGGAGCTAGCCACCCACTGTCTTCATACTGTCCTACGCTGTCGCGATTTCCCCAGTGGTAGTGCACTGTTTCCTTTACTCTGTCTCTGAGGAGGACTGTGAACAGGACAGAGATGGGGTTCTTGAATTTCTGACTGAATCTTACTCTCTGTAGGCACTACGTATGTTCCTGGGATTGGGGAACATGTCATTACATGTAGAAAAGGTATAGTTCTCCACCAACTGTATAGCCATTCTCCTCGGGCTCATGGCACGTTTCTGTCTGCAAGAAACATGTGCCATTACCTTGAGGTCAACAAAAATTGCCCTTACCTCCTCCTCTTCTCTTCCCAAATGCCAGACTGTGTCATTGGGAGATAGAACACCGTCTCTGTGTAGAGCGGTTTGCCCCCTCTGTGGTGGGTGCTCCTCTACAAAGTCTAGGCAGGGGGAAAGCCTCCTGCAGCTTCTCCAGGCTAGCTGCGACTGCTGTTTGTTTCGCAGAGCAAAGGTTTGCAAGAGAGGGGTCTCCAGCTCTGCCAGCACCCCGCAGCCGGGTTTTGCCCTGACTTGGCTAACACCTTCCTTCTCATTATTCCTCACATACATTTGTAGTTCTACAAATATTTCAAGCAACACAAGTGATTCCTATTTTATTGTACTGAGTACTTACTTATCCCTTTGGTATTCTCAGCTTTCTCCTGATATTTGTTTTTTGCCTTTGTTATATCTTGCCTATGAAATAAAAACTATTTTTCATATTTTTTAAAGCACATAGTAACTATGATTTTCTTCTCTTGACTTCTCTAATTCTTTGTTTCTTTAGCAAGAAATTTTATTCTGCCTGTCAAACTGTTTTTGTTGTCTGATTATTGTGATTGTGTGTGTGTGTGTGTGTGTGTGTGTGTGTGTGTGTGTGTGTGCATAGATACGTGTGGAGGTTGCCTGCGTATGTATGTGGGGGTTATGTGTATATGTATGTAGGGAACACATGTGCTCTAGCCAAAAAAAGGACACTAGGTATCTTGCTCTGTCATTCTTCACCTTAGTATTTAGACAGAGGTCTTTCATGGGCCCTGCATCTAGGCTGGTGATCTGCTGAGGTTACAGGTGTGCATGTGGTGATGCCTGGCTTTGTATGATCACTGGCATTCAAGTGATTGTGCTTGCCTGGCATTTGCTCCTAACCACTGAGACATCTCTCTTGACCCTTAAACTTGCTCATATCCTCTGGCAGGCCAAATATTTGGGTCTTCTGTAACCACCAACCTTCAAATGATTTGTTGGCTCTCTACTTCCCAGAATTAGCCTCACACCTGGCCCAAGCCCATTTATCATCTTGTATCCAAAATTTCCAAAAGCTACGGGAAAATGGGCAACCAAATTGCCCACTCTGGAATGGTCTTTCATTTTCCATGCCACTCTGATTTTAAAAACTGATACAGCCTTTTAACTAATTTTTAAAATTCAGCATATAAAGTGATGATCTTCACTATGGCATTTCCATGCACTCATGCTATTGTGCTGTGTTCTTATTCATTCTCATAACCTTTAAAGACAAGGTCTTTCTTGCTTGTGGTGGTTAATTTTGATTTTTCAACTTGGGTTAAAACACACACACACATACACACACACATACACACACACACACATACACACACACATACACACACCTAGGGGATCAGTATGGCCCACGTCTGGGTGTATCTGTGAGGTTGCTTTCCGGAGAGTTTTAAGTGAGAAAAGGAAAGACCCACCCTGAAGGTAGGCAACATCATCCCAGGTACCCTAGGCTGAACAAAAACAGAAAAAGAAAAAAGCCGAGTGTTGGAATTCCCTTTTCTGCCTCCTCAACCACCCAAATGTGAGCCAAACCAGCCTTGTGCTCATACCACGATGTATTCCCCACCATGCTGGACTATGTATCCTCAAGCCATGAGCCCACATAGATCCTTCTTCCCCTGAGTGGCTTCTTAGTGACTGTCTGGTCACAGTGATGAGAACAGTAACTTACACATTGCTTTTCTGTATTTTCCTGGTGTAGTCTGAGGACCCATAGCACACACCACTTCCCATCATGACCTACTGTCAACTACTGCAGCCTGTTCAGAAGGAAATATGCCTGATCTACACTTAAAAATGCAGCTCTGAGTGGCACTTACCAAAAACTGAGGTGAGTTTCCAAACGATCCATTTTCATCTACCTTTATCGTCTTACATTTTACCAAACTTCTTTACATGAAAACTAGCTAAGTAGTCTTGACCAACCAATATCCAAAGAAGTATGATTTTTGATGCTATCATGGTAAACAATGAGTTGGTCATTTAAAAAACTACAAGAAAGGGTCAGCATTTGAGCTCGGCCAAGCCTGATGACTGGAGTTCAATGCCCAGAACCCACATGGTGGAAAGAGAGAACTACCTTAAGTTAATCCTCTGACCACATGTCCACTGCGGCATGTGCTCATACACACAAACACCGCGCCCGCACACACACACACACACACACACACACACACACGCATGCACACAAGATGAATTAATAAAATATAATAAAACAATTTTAAAAACGCTAGCTTAGAAATGCGAACAGTGTTACTGACAGACAGTAGCCATTTGTAAAAACTTACTTCTGAAAATATCTTTGATCTACTTTTTATTGATTTATCTTAATTATAAAGTGCATTATATATTTTGCTTGAGTGCCTTATCTGCTATATATACATTTTTAATTTTTGTTTTACTGATTTTATGAATTATTGCTCTCATTAGTTTAGTGTTTTGAGGCAGGAGATGTCCTAATGCTGAAGTTCCTCTGTTGACTTTGAAGGAGCATCCTATTGATTAAGGCAGGATATTAAAGTCACTCCCTTTATGGAATGCTTTCCCTTTATGTCCTAAAGTGTTTGGCTTATGACACTGGGTATGCTTACATTCAATAAATGTATATTCACAACCATTATATTTTCTTGATGGATATTTTTGCTCATTAGCATGGCTTTCCTTATCCCTCACGACTAATTTTGGCCTGAAGTCTGCTTTGTCAGGTATACTTGGTTTTAGATTCTGCCTGGACTACCTTTTTCTATCTTTTTACTTCAGTCTGTTAGTGCTTTTTCCAGTGGTGTGAGTTTCTTGCAGACAGCAAAATTTGAGGGTTACTTTATAGTCCATTCAACTAGTCCATGTCTTTTAACTGGAGTGTTATGGCCATTCTCATTTAGCATTATTACTGGATAATCTATACTAATTTCTCTTTTCTTCATCTTATGCAGGTTTATTACTGAATTAGTGATATTTGACTCTCTCTTAATTCTTATTTGTCTATTTTTCTAGTGATATCTGTTCTTTCCTGACTCTTATACTTGTATATATCTTTCTTCTTCTGGGCATATTATACCTGTGAGTATCATTTACAGTGCTGGGTCAGGACCATGAATTACTTTAGTTTAGGCATAGAACGTAAGGTATTCATTTCTCCTTTGATTTTAAAGGATAACTTTGCTGGATATCGTAACCTTAGTTGGTAATTATTTTTTCCCCAGGGCTGCAAGTGCATCAGATCACTCCTGCTCTTTAGTGCCTCTGTGAAGGGTGCTGCTGTTATTCTGACAAGCTTGTCATTGTAACCAACTTGGAATTCTTTTCTTACAACTTTCACAGTTCTTTCTTTGCTCCACACCACTGGCATCTTGACTACAGTATTGTCTAGAGAAATTCTTCTTAAGATTTAAATATTTATTTTTTGTATATGAGTACTCTAACTGCACGTACAATTTTATGCCAGAAGAGGGCATCAGATTCCACATGGTGAGTCACCATGTGGTTGTTGGAAATCCAACTCAGGACCTCGAGAAGAGTAGCCAGTACTCTTAACTGCTGAGCTGTCTCTCCAGCCCAGCATGGAGAGATGATTGTCTGCTAATGTTCACATGGAGTTCCAAATTCCTCCTGTTCATGGTTGTCCATTTCCTTCTGTAGATCTGGAGAATTTTCTGCTATAATTTGTTGAATTAGCTATCATGCCTTTAGTCTGTATTTCCTTATCTCTACCACAGATTCACAGATTTGGACCCTTATTCTTGTCTCAGAGGTCATGAATGTTGTGGGCATTATTGTTCTTTTAATTATTTGATTTATTGATATCTGAATTTAATAATTCTTCAACCTTTAGTTTTTGATATTTTTTTGGCCTGGTCTAGTACACAGTGATATATTCCAGTATTTGCTGGATTTCTTTAAATTTTCCTTCTTTTTTTTTTTTTTTTTTTTTTTTTTTTTTTTTTTTTTTTTTTTGTTTTTCTGTGTAACCCTGGCTTTATTGGAAATCAATCTGTAGAACAGGCTGGCCTCGAACTCACAGAGATCCGCCTACCTCTGCCTCCCGAGTGCTGGGATTAAAGGCGTGCGCCACCAACGCCCGGCTGTAAATTTTCCTTCTTAAAGTCCCACCTTTTCTTTTGTTACAGAATCTTCCTTCCTTTTTTTTAAAAAACTGGATTTCTCTTCCAATACCTGCTATGCATTAAAAATATATATTTCCAAGTCCCTTAATACTTTTCTATCACTGTGAATAAACACCATGACCAAGGCAACTTATAAAATAAAGCACTTATTGGGGGCCTTGCTTATAGCTTCAGAGGTATTGTGCTGGAGCAGTAGCTAGAAGCCTACATCCTGATCGTCATGTCAGAGCAGAGGGAGAAAAATAGGGCTTTGCATGGGCTTTTGAAACCTCAAATCCCACCCTCAGTGACACACCTTCTCCACCAAGGCCACACCTCCTAATCTTTCTTAAAGCATCCTACCAACTAGGGACCAAGCATTCAAATATATGAGCTTATGGGGGCCAGTCTCATTCAAAGCACCACACCAAGTATGTGAAAGGTAGTTTATTAATTTATTACTTTAATTTTTGATCTTTTGACATGACAGTGGCTGAGCCTTAGACCTCAAGTATACAGGACATGCGCTATACTATTGAACCCCTACTGGGAACAAGGAGTCACTGCGTTATTTTATTGGGAAACACAAAAAACAAGGCATAGAATAATGGGTGGGCTATCTAGGTAGCTGTCACTGTGATTGGATGGAGCTTAATCCCACAGAGAAGCCCTAGAGAAGGTGCACAAATACAATTTCATCATTGTCTTGCAGTGTTAGAGAGATGGGTACATACATATTAATACCTGAGAGCCCCTGTACTAGGGTAGTTTCTGGTCCATCTTTCCAAGTGTTCATAATAGCAACATGCAATGTTAGACAAAGAACAATGCACAGTGACAGTTGGAAATCTGCCAGAGTACAGTATCTGCTAAAAGATGAGGCACAAGCAGGTTATACTACAATGCCTAGGGGAATTAGGGGCTCCCTTTAATATATTATTCATAATGTTTACAAATACCACAGTAGTAGGCTTCTTTCTCTCTTCCATTAAAGAGAGAGAACACAGGGCCCATCCAATCAGTAATCACTGCATGCCTTTCATGTACAGAGCGCTAGTCTCATCCCTGGGGGTAGAATGGTGAGCAGTACAGCGGAGATGCGTTCTCATATAGTTGATACTTCAGTGGGAAGAGGCTGGCTACCATGGAAACCAGTACAACATCAGATGCAAATGGGACCTTAGAGGAAAAAATAAATAAACTGAAGGGACTGAAGATAAAAGTTGCTTTTTAAGATAACCAGTCTAAGGAGCCTGCTCAAGAACTGAATGTTGCAAGCCAAGGAAATAATTCTAGGCAAAAGAGATGGGAAGCCCACGGCCCCAGAGAGATCTCTGCTAGGTATACATAAAGAACAGGAGCGTCAGTGTGGCTGCAGTACAGTAAGGGAGGAGGAAAATTAGGCAGGAGTCAGATGAGAGCTGCAGATTCCTCAGCCTTAGCGAGGATTTCACATTGATGTAAGGGTAGCAGGGAAGAGTCATGACATGCAGACCAAGGAAAATGACCAGGAGTCCTCTGTACTAACTCTGCAACAGTGGTGATATTGCTGAATGTCCCGAGAAGGAAAAGTTAGGGGTCAGCAAGGTGGCTCAGTAAATACAGACCCCTGTTGCCTCACCCAGGAAGGATTGAGAACTGGCTCTTGCAAGTTGTCTTCTGACTTCCATATGTAGGATATGTCACATGCTTACCCACATAAACAAGTGCGAGCGTGTTTACACACACAGAAAGTAAATAAAACGCAATCAACATATAATACAAAGGCAATTATATTTAAAAAGAAGGGCAAGTTACTTGTGTGATTTGTCTCGCCGGAACCGCCTTCCCATCAAGCCAATCATCTTCGCTGTGGAAGCTGCTGCTACTTCATTTAGTTGGAGATACTCGTTTCTCTAGAACATCTCATGAATGTGTGTGAAAAATGGGTCTCTTTGCCAAAATGAAACAAGGAAAATTTCCCAAATCGTTAAAAAAAAAAAATAACATCACAGTCTAATTATAAGGTTGCCTTTGCCTTTTGTTTCGAAGCCCTGGGGAGCAGGGACACTCTGTAATACTTCACTGGTACCTTGGACTGCCAGTCGTCAGCTTTATCTCATGAGACTCCCAGATACTTTGAAATCTCAAATTGCTGCTTTTCTGCCTGCTGGGTGCTGCGAGTTGGAAAGAGTTCCGTCATTTGTTTCCTCCACATGCCTGAGGTACTCCGTGGATCCACATTCATTTAAGAGATACTGTCTCTCTGTTGTGGGAGACTTCTAAGTCTCAGAGGTCAACAGACAGCCTTGGAATGCGTAGCTTCATTCATCTTGCTAGCAGCAGGGAAGGAATAGAAAGAAGAACCCGCCAGCACAAGGACATGAGGGAAATGGAAAAAAAAAGAAAGAAAGAAAAAAAGAAAAGCAAATGGCAAGGTAATTTCATTTTGTCTTTTTGGGCAAAGAAAGGAAAGGAAAGAGTCCTGGCACCATCACCCTAGTCACCTGGTTGGCATTTGGGAACCTTGCTGCGCCTGACACACAGGGGACAGTTGATGAATCTGACTGCATCACTTCAACCCAACTAATGACGGGTTCAGGATTCTCTCCAAATTTCAGTCTTCACCAAGCTAGCCCTCCCCCCCAGAAGCTCCATTCAGACTCAAATGTCATCAAGGTGGCCACGCGTCTCCCTTTTCTTTCTAAAATCACAAAATCCCTCTAGCCCCACAAAAAATCACATGAAG